GCACAATCCTCATACCTAAGCAACTGCGAAATACCCGAAAAGCGTATAATATCCCGGGTTAAAGAAGTGAAAAAGACCCGAAATATTCTCACCCCCCCCCCCCGGTGGTGCTTTATCTTTTCATTCGACCTCTAAAACGTCTCGACTTATGTCAATATACTTTTCTGCTTTCTGAGCCGAAGAAGTGAGTTCCCTCGCCCAGTAATGAAAACAAAAAATTGTGCGGCTTGTGTAGTAACCTACTCAGGGGTTACGGGCAGCGCTAACTTTCCAAAGAGCGCTGGTGCGGATACACCGTCCGAAATCTAAAATGATTAAGACCTCGTTTGTACTGAGTTATGGCTACCCCCTAAAGTACAGCCCTCTATGCTACCTATAATACAGCCGCGTCATTGCACGACCGCTGTATGATTGGAAATTATTGCAACCTAGGTGTTATCGTCGGCTATCCTGGCGATAGCTACCGGTGAGTCTTTCCCAGTCTTGGGAGAGGAAAAATGACCTACTAGGTTAGTCGGTTGACACAAGAATACGGACCCTTCGTATTGCAAGGGGTCTTGCCCTAGATTCCAAGAGGCGTTTAGAGTTAGGGTTACAGCTAAAGTTAGAAAGGTTAGGGTCAGGATGAGGTTTATGAGGGTTAGAGCTAAAAGGTTTGAGATTAGGATTAGGGCAGGCGTTGGGGTTGGAGTGAAGGTTGAACATAAGACACAAGAATATAAATCATCCTGGAATTTAGTGCAAGTCTATTTGCAGTATAAGGGGAGGAGGAAGGTTCATATTCTCGTGTTCGACTGACTAAACGTTTAGTCCTGATTTCTAGTACGTGACCGTCGAAATGGCCTTTCTTAGTTCATGCGTTCCTCCTTCTACATCTTAATGTCCCCCCGTAGGGTGACGTGGCTTATCGGTAAAAGTAAGGTCTGCATATATGTCGTGACATAATAAGCTCCGCCTATAGTTAAGCATTCACTCATGTCATGAGCCAACGTTGACTACCTTTTTTGCTCAGTAAAAATGTGATTCCGGTGGCGACGAGTAGCTATAAGTCTATGGTAGTCCTTGATCAAATTTTTATCTAAGCGCAACTTTCTGTATCTGTTCCATTTACTAGTTATTTCATAAGCTCGCAGTTATTAATGTTTGTTTAGGTTGGTGTTTACTAACTGCTGCGCGGTACGCTCAAACTAGTGTGAGTTTCGGTATCATTAACTGACTTTTCACTCATTGCCTTTGCTCTTCACTGGGCGGCGTTGACAGCTTAGTTCGTTCTAGCGTGACAGTTTTGCTTGGCCTATCTGAACTTGTTTTTAGCATGGAATGACATCATCGATTGGCTTAAC